AGGGGAATAAACTACATCTTCTGGATGTCTTGCTAAGTAGGCAAGAGGATTTGTCACTAGGGGGAAGCGTGCATAGAAATCTGACCTAAAGAAACTGGTTGGCACTCACGAGGTGTGCAACATAGATGGCATTGAAATTGAAACCAAGTCGGAAATTAAATACCTAGGCGTCACTCTATCTTCTGATCTTTCCTGGTCGTCACATATCTTGACGATTTCTAAGAAAATATTCCGTCTTACCTTCTACACCAAGAAGTTAAGACATTCTGGAATAACCCAACCCTTACTCGTACGATTCGGTAAGTCTTGTATCCTGCTTATTATTCCCTATTGTTCCCCCTTAGTCTTTCCTGGGCTATTGAAGGAAGACTATACCATATTACGCAGGATGTTAAAGGTTGTCAGCAGGGTAAACAATGTGCCACTTAAGCAGCTTGTTAATATTCTGGTGGACAGGCACATGGACTCATGTGAAAAATGGGCTAAATCCATTCTATCTAACTCACACCACCCTCTTCATTCACAACTCTCCCCATGTATCTATCCAGGGAAAACCAGAAGCCTATATAGTAAGTACAAAAACTCATCCATACCCTACTTAGCTCGTGTTCTGTGCGATAAAGAAAGCATTAGGCGTGAAACCTTTCACTTATTAAATAGTCAGTAGAACAATGGATCTCGTCTTTCCAACTCACATCATTTACAGGTACAGCAGTTTAACTCTCTACCTTTTTTTACTGTATTTATTTTTGTGATGTGCTCTTTTGTTTCTCTCTTCCTTACAAACTCTACTTAAAACATTCTCGTTCGTTTTTTCACACTCTGTATATCTCGACCATTTTGCTATCGCTTACGCCAGTAAATATGCTAATAGTATCTACTTTTCTAACACCTTGAAACACTCTGTTCAAAATTTTGGCTTTGCTACCGACATGCTAATATGTTGTTGTCAAAACTGACTGAGATAACTTTAATCTACGTAGAACTTTATTTATTGTTAATGTGCAAACTGGATGCAATATTGTAGTAAAATGCTGAGAATTCCATTCTGTATCACAAGTACTGTTTTGGAATAAAGCTATTATTATCTTATCTTATCTTAGAAAACGCTTGTACACAGGGAGATACACACTTTCTAAGTTAGGTGCTCATTAAATATTAAAGGAATTTTGTTAAATATTTTACGGGCAGAGCAAGAAACATATATACGGATGACCACTTACAAAGGAATTTGAATATATTCACGATTCCTTGACGGAAATGGGCTATCCGATTAGTTTCATAAAGAAATATATAAAAAAAATCAGAGAGAAAACCTGATACTCTGACTACATGTAAAACACTTCTACTTAATTAGCTACAATTTAATGTTGACCGATCATGTGAGATTTTACGCCAGAGACTTTCCAGTAGTATACGAAGAACGCTTTACGCAGCATACCTAAGTTTGTCATTCAGTGGGCGACGAATGATTGGGATGCAAACGAAGGATAAGCTAGACAGTTTTTCCACATCTATCTATCAATAATTCCTCTGCACCTGAGGTGACAGTTATGTTGGATGTACTACTAGGCAGCCTAGACAAAGTGTTTGTATATATCTCCCATTGTGTTTTGGCAAAGGACAGAAGAAAACAATCCGTAGCTCAATTTTGTCACATTTAGTTGATAGTGGTCATCTAGTCAAGAAAACGAGAGCCTTCAAAGTAACTCATCCTATCCCACAGAATCATTCCAATACACTTCGTAGTCGTCTACAGCACACAGCTGAGGTGATAGACATCCGAACTATTAAACCTGAACTGTGCATGCAAAAGAAGTTCGTACAGCCATTATCCCTCCCTTAGTTTATCAAGGCACAACTAAGTGATGACTTCTACACCAACACTTACTTATGTTTTCAACTCACCTCTTATCATCCCTTAATCTTATCACATCTTCATTAACTGAACATTTGTTTGTTTAATCATGTTGTTTTTCGTTATTCGTGTTATCACAGATTGCCTCAATTTTTCATCCTTATTATTGATAAGACCATTTTTATTATTACTATTATTATTATCTATACTGCTATTATAACTAATTGCACAATTTGTATTCACTATAGTTTTATCCTATGAACAAAACACCACGATTGGTTTTACATTTGAATTCTGATTTGCAAAATTATGTATATTAGTGTTAACCCCGGTGAGGTCTAATCGAATCCACAATATTGTTCGTCTAAATGTGTTGTTCTGAAGCTGATTAAAAAGAGAAGATAGGGAGACAGTCAACAGAGTCTTTAATAAGTTGAAACAACAGGGCCATATTTCACCTGCTTTGTATGAAACACAGTTCACCCTTACACCACTACTCGACTAGTCTAGCTCTCCGATCCGTTCAACAGAAAAATGGCTGGCACACGTTTTACAGCCATTATATAAAAAATTATGAAAATTAGCTTTCAGGGTAGCCTTGAGTTTGTGGAAACAATCAAGGAATTCAATGTGAAGGACAGACACATGATATCACTGGATGCATCTTCCTTATTGACTAATGTTTCTTTGATGGAAACAATTTAATGCATAGTGATGAATTGATAAAGCAGGGTATGGAGAATGGAATTCTTGTGTCTTCCCCAAAGGAACTTCTTCTAAGGTGTACGGACAATGAATGCAAACTTCCTGTTCAATAGAGAGATGAATAGACAAACAGATGATGTTTCCACGGGATCACCAGTATGCCCAATCCTAGCAGAAAATTTCCTGGCTAAACTAGAGAATGGTCCTCTTAAAGATGTAATACGTAATCTCGATTTCCATCGCCGTTATGTTGATGATACATTCAGGGTTTTTCAGATAGTGAGTGAGACAGACTAAGGACACATTGCATAAATGCATCAGAGCACATCCTGGCATAGGCTTAACTAAAGAAGCAGAAGAAAATGACACTGTCTCCATTTTCCACGTTCTAATCACTAAACAAACAGACGGAAAAATCTCTAGGCGTTTGCAGCCGGTAGGGTGTGAGGACAAATACTCGCCGAAGACATTGGCTAGTGGTTGCGCTATGTCGTGAATTGGCAGGAGTTAGAATTCAAGGACCATTGGGTCAGGTCCCAGTGGTTTAATGGTATACGAGCTCGCCTTGTAACCGGAAGGTCCTGGGTTCGAACTGTGGCGGTGGGTGCGTACTGATGAAGAGTCCCAAACTAGGACGAAACAGCTGTCCAGTAATCCCAGGTTTTCCAATGGCTCTCTAACTAATGTCAGCTCATGATGAAATCCTGAAACCTACTTCAACTGGACAATATACTCACTTCTGCAGCTTCACACCACTGCACTACAAACGCTTTCTAATCAGATGACTGGTTCATCGGGCTAGAGTTATCCTTTCAGTAGTGACGACAATTGAGATAGTCGGCAGTGTTCGTGATTTACTGAGTAGAAACGGATATTCAAACATGAACAAACAAACACATGAACTCAAAATAAAATGTCGGAGGTGTCTACTATACCAAAAAACTAGAATGTCTAAGGTTACAATTCATGGGTGGTGTCAATAGCGAGATCTTAACACAGCGTCTAAGAAGGGCCCTCAAAAGGATTTTGAATGTATATAAGCTATGGCGCATATTCACTAGCTGACCAATATTTATGTCAAGAACTAACGACAGACTTCCCAGTTTCCCTTGTTCCACATGTTTTTATCAGTTCAGATGTCCATGCGGAGCTACATACATAGGGCGTACGATCATGCCAGTTCATTGTCGAATTTCTCAACACCTCTCATGTTGGTGTGGCGAAGGTGCGAATACAGCTATCCGCTGCTCAATGCTACCTCACCTCATCGATACCGGATATCAAGTCGAATCTAAGAAAGCTTTTGAAATTATTTATCGTATATCACCCAACATCTCGCATGGTCCACGAGTACGAATCTTGCATACAGCAGAGTCAATCGAAATTCATCTGAACAAGCCAAATCTACGTGTGTATTCCAAAGAAATTTGTACAGCCACTTACTTTGCCATGACCAACTGCTTAAAATTTATTGAGTATTTAAAGAAAACTTTTCCGGTCCCCTTCTAACTGTCTTATGATTTTGTAAACTTTTGCAGTTCTAGCTAGCTCTATCAACTTGTTTCCATTCAACATAATTCTTCTGACTCATCCTATTCTTCTTAGTCATCATTATCTTACAAAATGCTTGACTACGTAACGCCTGAGAATCAACTTATCTTGAATTCCGTGATTAATTTTCACCCTTTTTCAAAAACTTAGATATCTTTTTACTAACATCCATTAGTTAATTGATTTGGTGACCTGTACCCTTTTCATTCAACCCTTTCTCTGACTAAAACCTCAATAACCAAGGCAAACACTTGATTGGTAAACATTTTGATGTAAAATGTATATTTTCGTGTGGAGCCGATGATGTGAAACTAATAGAAGAGCAGTGTATTACTTCACTCATTCTGTTGTTCTTTCCTAAATGAAAGAATCAACCGTTTATCGGGGATATAAATCAACAAGACGAGCACTTCGTTATTTCATTTCAATGATCACAGCTTTCTGCCTAGTGATCAAGAACATAACTGAAATGGAGACTTCGTCAACACGCGGATGTCGTACATCAGTCTGCCGGAAAAAAACAGTTACACAAAATGTTACACAACATAATCTTTAATATTTTTATTATATCTCTCACCACTTGTTGCACTACATTATTTTATATCAGCCAATCAATAAGCCGGTCTCCTACATCAGTCTGTAGAAAGACATTGTCAGCAACGCGAAAGTTATGCGCTTGAAACGGACTGAAATTTAAATTTCCACTACACAGTTTGTAATTTGTCACACTATGTAAACATTAGTTCATCAATCTAACTGTAACTTAGTTCTACAGAGCAACGATCATAGCAATAAGTGTAGACGTGATTGTGTAATAAGGTAATAATATTTTGAAGACTAAAATAATTAAAATTAAAAATGAACTATTTGCACGATGGAAGTGTGATTATTTCGATTCTTCTGGTTCACCGAGTAGTGGGTTTTGAACTACATCTGCCAAGGATGCTCCTTGTTGTGGTGTAGGCTTGACATCTTGTATAGCGCCATCTGGTGCTGTATCTGAGCTGATATCTGAGTTGGCGTTCGAATTCTCTATAATTCAAAAGAGAAAGCAATATTAATTGATAAGGTACAAAATAAACCTTTATACTTTTCTATAGTTGGTTTGTATGGATTAGTTTTGTTTTTGCGAGTTGATCAAGGATTGATATCAGTAACTGCGAGGGTTTGAACCTAGGGCCTTCCAGTTACAAGGAAAGCTCGTATACTATTCAGCCACTAGGACCCGATTCAATGGCCAATGCATGAATTCTAACTTCTGCCAATTCACGATATAGCGCAACCGCTAGCCAGTGTCTTCGGCAAGTATTTGTTCTCACACCCGACCTGCTGCACCCTACTGGTCACAACTTCCTACTAGAACTCCAGGTAACTACCTACCTGAATAGGGCCAGTCGCCAGTGAGCACAACTGTTAATCAGCTTTCCTTTCCTTTCCATGTGATTGCCTACATGCTAGCCTCATACAACCCCTATCTTACTACTAGAGTTTCTTCGAATTATGAACCTGGTGTGCGGTGTTGTTTGAAGATCTCCTCCCCCCTCCCCAGTATGTCCAGTACGTCTCCACTTTTACGGCAAATATTAAGCTAAAATAAATCTCTCCCCTTCACCAATTCTCTCAGTCATACTTAATCACAAAATATAATAATCAACATGAATTATAAACATTGCAGTATGGTAAATTTATGATAATATATCAACAAATAAATAAATATACCTCAGATCGCCTTACCTGGTATGTCTGCATCAGTAGCCTGGATAACAGCAACAATGCAAATGCATACACAAATCGAAAATATCTACATTTTTTTGTAATTTCATTATTTTACTGATTGGTGCACATTTTCACTCACCTTAGATGTGGACATTATTTGTGAAAGTATTCGCCAGTATACCTACCCACTCCCTACGACAATGCCATTGTATTTATAGGCGTTTTAAAGCCAATTTGAGTGATCCGTTATTCGAATCATGTAGACATGCAAATATCTGTCAATATCTGGTGGCATATACTTTGGTTAAGCTGTTGGCTTAAACCTAACCGTTTTTTTACTAGTGATTGTTCAAGATTATAACGTTTAAATGACAGAATAATTTCATGTCCTTCTAAGACGTTGTTGACCACAGTTGGTAGACCTACCATGCTGAGAGAAATGTGACATGACACGTCAATGAAAATAATAATAACAATAACTGTCTGACTATTTACATGTCAACTGACATAATACTACTGATGACATATCGATGAGTAATCAATTCAGTCATTGAAAAGGTAGAAATTGTTAGAATAAATTGATTTTACAAGGATAACACGTAAATAAAGATGAAGTGGTCAGAAAAAATAATAAAATAATTTGGATAATTATAATTTTTATAATTTTAAAGGCTTAGGAGGGAGGAAAGGGCGAAGTAGTCCGGTTTATACATTCATGTGATAATGGTCAAGGTAAGGAAGGAAAGTGGCTGTACACATTTATTTTCAACACACATGTTTAGCTGGCTTCTTCAGGTGGATTCCTATTGCTTCAGCTGTCGTATGTAGAAGACGAACTCGTAGAGCAAAATTAAGATTAGTAGGAATGCGATAGATAATTAATTTTAAATGCTGTATTAACATCAACCTTATGCTGACTATCTACAAGGTGTGCTAAAATAGAGCTACGAACAGATCTTGCTGCTTAACCATGTTGGATGATGTTCGGAAATACGATGATGAACCTGCCTAATTGTGCGCCAGATGTAGCTGGCCCCGCAGCTGCAGTCAGACTGGAGGAGGTAAATTTAGGTAGTTTATCGTTATTTATCGAAAGTAGAATAGGAGTGGTTGTGAAGGGACAGCGTACCTCTGCTGCATAATAAGCTCTTTTAACTGCATTCTTCAGTCGTTGTGTTATTATTTCGCTGATGTTGTCACCGAGGAACTGCAATTTTAGGAACATTGGTTCTGTTCGGAACTGTTGCCATAGTGACTGTCCTAGGTGCTGCTGAATTCCTATTTTTCTCAATGAACCTATCCGGATAACCGTTCTTCCTAAGTAATTCTCTAATAATCTTAAGCTCCTCATTGAGTCAGTCGTCTGAACAGATTAACCTAGCTCTTTGAACAAGACACTTTACCAGGTTACGCGTTGATATTTCAAAGGTACAAAACTCAAAAAATGAGTGTACTGACGTGTTGTTGTAGGTTTCCTATACACACTCCTTCTTAGTGTGCCATCTTCTTTCCTTGCCATGAAGATGTCTAGGAATGAGATACTGTTGTTACTTTCTTTCTCTATGGTAAAGTTTATTTGCTGAATGTGTATCATTAAACTTGTCAAGGATGTTCATTGCATCATTCTCGTCTTTCATAGCCAGAAATGTATCATCCGCATATATCGACAGTAGAAATCCAAGTCATTGATTACTCCTTTCAGTGGTCCATTCTCTAATTTAGGGGGGAAAAATTCAGCTAATGGGGAACCCATAGCTAAACCATCAGTTAGTCTGTAATATTCCTTATTGAATAAGAAATGAGCATTCATTGTACATCTTAAAATAAGTTCCTTCTATATTGAATTCAGTCATTGTGAAATCTAGGTGAGCTTCAGACTTTGTTTTGTGAATTCCGTAAATCTGTGTACACTGAGTAATATACATACACCACAAAGGAAGGAAAGAAAATCTCTTACATGTCGTATTCTAATAATAAACTTTTTGACACTGCTATCGTTGTGTGAAATGCAAATGATACTATCACCACTAGGACCCATTCTAGTCTACATTATCCAAGCGAAAACAGAAAGTGGGCCTTTGAAGGATGCTATTAATGAACTGGAATTCTATTGTCAGTACATGGATGATACATTTTAAAAAATTGAAAAATGGGAAGGAAGCAAAGAACATCCAGGATAAATTTAACGAGGTTCTTCCTGCAGTAAAATTTTAATATTGAGAAAGAAAAGACTCGAGGATTTCATCCCTATATGTCCTTATGACCAGAAAATAGGACTTTCTCAGTTTCATGCCCTCGAAATACAAACGCAATCTGATGAAGTGCTTGGTTCACGAACAAGAGTGATTTGCTGGGATGAATGTCTTGATGAGGAACTTGATAATATTAAACGGTTGCTAAGTGAAAATGGTTATTCAGAAAAGCTTACTGATAGGGATATGAATCTAAAATCAAAGCAGCCAAGTTACCAACAGTTCTAAAATAGGCCGTATTCTTACAAATCCAGTTCCTTAGGGACAACATCAGCAAGATACTAACACACCGACTTAGAAATGCAGTAAAAAGAGCTTTCCCTGCTGCCAAATTGCGCGGTGTCTTCAAAACCACTTCTCTTTGTGTTCGTATGGGGTAAAAGACAAACTGACTAATTTCGCCTCTTCCATGTGTATCTACCAATTTAACTGCTCCTGTGGAGTGAGCCAGTTAGTTGCATAGGCCGTACAACTAGGCGTGTTTCTCGTCGAATTTCCGAATATTATCCTGAGTGGTTGAGCAAAGGAGAAACAAAATCCATTCATAGCGTTATTCTGTCTCACCTGTGGATGCAGAACACAAGATTGACGTTAACCATGCTTTTTTCAGGGTCATTTACCGCATACCTACGAATCTCAATTTTGTCTTAAGAGTTCGACTACCAAGTATTCCTGAGGCTGGCTGTTGGATCCACATTAACAAGCCTAATTTGTGCATCCAAAAGAAGTTAGTTCAGACATTATCATTACCTTGGCCATTTAGGTTTAACTGGTCCTGAATTTTTGTGGATTTTCCTAATTTTAGTTGATATTCTATTCGCTACTATATCTTTATTATTATTATTATTATAATTTAAGAATATTTAATGAACTGTAATTCCATTGTGATCTTACTTTACAAGTCGATATTATTTAAAAAGCACTAATATTGTTATTGACTAATAATCTAGAATATTCTGTGTATATAAACATATGTATAATTGTAGAGGAATTTATCGAAAAGAATATTCTTTGCTCTATTATTATTATTATTATTATTATTATATCCTTTAATTCCTGGAGGAACATAGGGCTTCAGCTGCGCGTCTCCATTGCGTTCGGTTCTCTACTAAAATTTTCAACTGGCCACAATTCTGCCCACATGCTTTCATCTCCTCTTCACATAACTTCCTCCAAGTCACTATTGCACCGACGACCAACTCGCCGCTTCCCTTTCGGGTTCCATTCGACCGATGGCTTGGCGTGTGATGTTACTTGATAGTTTCCTCAGAGTATGACCAATCCAATTCACATCCATTTCTTCCTGCTTATTTGTTGTATAATCGTTCCTGCTGCGTTGGTTCGTTCATTACCAGAGATCCCTGTTGCTGATCTTTTCTGGCCGGCCATCTGACCTTGAGTATTTAACGAAGGCAACTGTTAATGAAGGTCTGAAGTTTGTTTGAGGTGCTCTTTAGGACGCGCCAAGTCTCTGATCCATATATACTAAGTAGCACTGACTTCACATTGGAGTTGAAAATCCGAATCTCATTTTCATCCTCTTGCTGAGTCCTGTTGACCTCCACACAGACTTGAGAGTACTGAAAGCTTGTCTTGCTTTTCCGATTCTTGCTTTGATATCCTCGTCATTTCGTTAGCCTATAGTTGAAACGAGGTTGTTTCTTTCAGGTTACTCCCATTTATGCTGGCTGATTGTTGTCTATTGTTGTTGCTGTTGGTGTTGTCCAGGAATCTTCATCACCCTTTATTTTCTCTCTGTTCACCTGAAGTCCTATCTTCTCCGGATACTTCTTCTGTCAGCTTGTTGCTTTTCACTTGCATATCTTCCAGTTTGTGTGTAGTTTTGTAGATTTCTGAATGAATATATTTTTGATAGTGTGTTGTGGTCTTTCTGAAAAAATATGTTTTAGCCACCTATATTTCGCCATAAAATTGAGTGCCACAAGTTTGTTGACTAAAATTGTTTAGTTAAATCTAAACTTAAAGTCTGTCTTCTAGAGTAGAATATCAGAAGGGAAATACAACATTGTCTGCATTATTAACTCAGAATTCAGTTAACCGGTAGAGGACTGTGATCCCTACTTATATTGCATAACAGCTAATGGTACTCTATCCAGTAGGCGGGATAGGGTATGAACCTTGAACCCACTGTAAGGAAGTAGATGGCTTAAACCAACCCGTCTCATTTCCATTTTGGTTGGTTAGAATCTTAAGTAATTACAAAGAGTTAACTGATCTTCACAAATGAAAGCGAAGAAAGAAGCAAGAAATGGTGGAGGTTAGGCCAAATAATCACTAGGGTCCCAGTGGTTGAATGGTCTATGAACTCTCCATGTAACTAGAGGTACCTGCGTGCGAATCCACTCAGTGGATGCGTACTGTCGATGAGTTTCGAATTTGAATGCAACAGGTGGTTTTATTACTTCCCGGATGGTTCAATGGTTCTCTCTCCATGGTGAGAATTGAAACAGATCAGATCCGTACAAGCTGACTCTTCAGGAGAAGAAACAATAATTTAACAATACCTGTAGTAATATTCAAAACACACTTTTTAGTGAAGACACCCCAAGATGTTTATTTTCAGGCTCCAGGATCGATGTCGCGTGAGTAATTGTGAGCCAAACGTGTGAATACTTAGAATAATAACGTGAATTATGCCGCCTACGCAAAGTTCACAAACCGGGTCTTCCTCTTCATAAAGTTTTAAATATGTATAAGTCACAATATAACGGAACGGCAAAGTGGTTACTTCAAATCCTAGGACCTTTAAAGAAAGAAATATTAGGCTTGTGATGTGTTCAAATATACAACTCTAATATATCTGTGACTAATGTTAATGATAAAATTCTGTTATCCATCAATGTCTCCTCACTATTCACGAATGTACCACTTGTTCAAACGGTGGGATATAGACGCGAAGCAATCATCGAAAGGTGAATTGACCTGGGAATTCCCTGTCTAAATTTTACGAGCTACTGCTCAACTGTACAGTCAATGTACGTTTTATCATCAATAACCCATACTATCAAGAACTGGATAGAATCCTTATGGGTTCACTAGTAAACCCAATTTTTGAGTGTTTTCCTTCTCGCAAAACTTGAAAATGGACGTCTTGCTAAGTGGGTGAGATGATGGGTTAGTTAGGAGAATCGTGTATAGAAAAACCACATCCACAGG